AGATGCTTTGTGGCCGCCCGAGATTTTTCACATTTTCGGACGGGAGCGCGTGGGGAAGACACGGGTAAGTATTAACCCTTTTCAAAGTGTTTTTTTAACACTTTTTGCATATATCTACTGCTTGCTAGCAGTAGATATATGCAAAAACACCCGAGGCTTTAATTATCCTTTAAGCTGAACGTTTAGTTGGCTTTTGGCGCACATTAAAGTGCATTAGGTAACATACCTGTAAAATAAGAATCTGATCTAAATAATTTCAGTGAATACATAGGGGTCTATTCACAAAACTGCCGAGGGCAGCCGAGTGAATGACCGATCAGAAGTGAAGTGAGCCGAACACTGTTTGGCTATTTACTTCAGGCTGGTACAGCTAATTTCAGCCGTACATCGGCTGAAATCAGCCATACATCGGCTTGCTTCGTGTGGCTTTGGATCAGCCGAACATGCTCTGCATGTTCGGCTGACCCGAAGTGCAGAAGGAGTTCAGAAGGCTGAGCCGAACCTCCGGCAGGCTTCACACTGCTGTTCCGAACAGCAGTGAGAGAATAGCCGAATGCCGCCGAGCGGCATTTGGCTCGGCTGTTCTGCTTGGTCCATCAGAGGCACCAAGCAGAACAGAAAAAGAGTGAAAAAAGTAGAAAAAAGTTAATAGAAAACGATTGTGCAGAGCTAGCAGTGACAGCTAGCTCTGCCCAATCGTTTCCTATTGTCTGGCGGTTCTGCTGCTGTAAAAAAAAAAAAATCTCCCAGGCCCTCTGGGAGCCCCCCGCTCCCGGCCGCCAAGAAGAGAAACCCCACTGTGTCTTTTTTTTTTCTTTATTGTTTTATACTTTTCTAAACTTGGATTTCAACTTACAGTTTATATTTTACAAACTGTGGGTTAGGAAAGCCATGTCAGTAAAACTTACAGGGTTATTCACAAAAGGGTGAAGGGTTTGGAGAAGGCAGGAGAAGTGAACAATCTAAGACAACATAGCTGATTTGGAACAATTCTCCAATTCAGTTCACTTTCCAGTTCATCTATATTGTCCTAGATTGTTCCCTTCTCCTGCCTTCTCAAAACTCTTCACCCTTTTGTGAATAACTCTGTTAGTTTGTATAAAAAAAAAAATACCTAAAACTGCTCAATTGCTCCAAACCGAACGATTACGTTTCTGTGAAAGATTCCTATAGAGCACAATGGTCCACAAGTATTCGGCTCGCTCAATCAACACGAATGTATGATAAAAGTTTTGAAAAACTGTAAGAGCTCAGTTTTAACTCTGCTTCACTCATGGTCATGTGATTTCCTGGTTTTAATAGAAAAAAATAAATCACTGCTAAGAGATAATCTTATCACTTGTAAGCCATATAGTTTAATATCAATGGTTTCTCTTGCAGAAAATACCCCGTGGAACTGAAAAACAGAGAATATTAAAGTTTATTTTTCGGCAGCTGTTGTTTGAAGAATGGAAAACAGCGGCTATATAAAAGGAAAAAGAAAAAAAACAGTGCACAAATAAAAAATAGGCAGAATTCCTTTGGAAAGAAAAAAAAATACATTGAATGTAATTTCTAATACAGGGACACATGTAGACGCGATTTTTCTTTGCTTCTCATATTTGCTTGAAAATTGTGTTAAATGTAGTTAAAAAAAATAAACGCCCACACAAGCAGAGCTGATATTGTTATTACAGTGTGTAGTTGGTGATTAGTAGGATCTTTTGATATGTTATTTGATTTAATTTATTAATATTATTTTTAGCAAATGACTTACCAATATATATGTAATATACACTTTTTGACCAACAGTTTGTGGACACCTGATCATCACACCTATACGAGCTTGCTGGGCATCTCATTTAAAAAAAATTGGCATCAATATGGAATACCCCCCACCCTTCTGGGAAGGCTTTCCACATGCATTAGGAGTTAGTCTGTGGATGTTTGTACCCATTTAGTCAAAAGAATATTTCAGCGGTCAGGTGCTGATGTTGGGTGAGAAGACCTCGCTAACAATAGGAGCTCCAATTCATACCAAAGGTGTTCAGTAGCGATGAGATCAGGGCTCTGTGCAGACCACTTAAACTCAGGAATTAAATCTTAAAAATGCATTCAAGTACCTTAACTATTAACATAACTGTACTTTATTTGTGTAGCACTCGGCTGTAGATCCTCAATCATCTCGAAATTGGTGCTGACACTGTCCTTCCTTCTGTAGGGTGGCTACTTTTGTTCCCCATGGTCCCTGTGTGTGTTATAAAGCAGCCACTACTCCAAGCTCACTCCTTTGATGGACTACAATTTTAATACAAATTAGTAAACTAAACATGAGATTGTAGTCTACCATGGGAGCGAGCTTGGAGTGGTGGCTACTTTACAACACACACGGGGACCATGGGGAACAAAAGTAGCCACCCTACAGAAGGAAGGACAGTGTCAGCACCAATTCAGGGAAGATTTGAGGATCTAGAGTGATACACAAATAAGGTACAGCATTGTTAATAGTTAGGGTACATTAATGCCTTTTTAAGATTGAATTCCTGAGTTTAGTGTCACTTTAAGTTGCTCCACATCAAGCTCATCAAACCATGTCTTTATGGAGCTGGCTTTGTGCACAGAAGCACAGTCAAACGAGAGCAATTAGGATTGGAGAGAAATCAGGAGAGAAATTGGGATTGGACCGTAGCATTGTCCAGCTCCAATCCCAATTGCTCTCCTGAATTGTCACTCTTGTGCTCCCAGTGGAGACGGCAACTGGCTGCTCCAATGGTCATTGAGCCAGTATGTTTCAACATTGTCACTATTAGAAAGATGGCCATGAACAGTGACATTCAGCTACAGCCGGAACATATCCTTTAAGACAGAAAGTGACTGCTGATAGGCTGGAGGAGATCAGCAGCAGTGAGATGCAACAAATGATGCAAAACAGGTCAAAACAGTATTTTCTAAAATAAAAAAACGGCAATTGTAAATCATACACGACAAACTAAAGCTAGGCATACACAGTAAAAGGTTTAGCGGATTCATACTGAATCGGCTGAAATTATGGGGTCTATTCACGAAGCAGCCGAAGGATCTTCGGCTGATCCTTCGGCTAGAACCCAGGACCCAGGACCCCTTCGGTTTTGTAGAACCGAAGGGCTGCTGTACGGGCTATTCACTATAGCTCGTACAGCTCCCGAAGTCGGCCGAGCGGCTCAGTCGAGCCGAAGGCATATGCGAGGTGAAAGCCGAAGCTGGCCGAGCGGCTGGCCATTGGCCGGCCGACAGCTTATTCTGACATAGAGCCGTTGGCTGGCGTCAGAATAAATTAAAAAATCACCATAGGAATGCCTTGCTAGATTCCTATTGGCGATTTCAATTTGCAATAGCCAATAGGAATCTAGCAATGCATTCCTATGGCAAAAATGTTTTTTTTTTCTTTTCATTTTTTTGACGGCAGCAGAACCGCCGGCCAATAGAAAACAATTGGGCGGAGCTAGCTGTCACTGCTAGCTCCGCACAATCATTTTCTATATATTTTTTTGTACTTTTGAAACTATTTTTCTGCTCGGTCCCACAGAAGGACTGAGTAGAACAGCCGAGCCGAGCTATTTACTCACTGCTGTTCGGCATCTATAATAATAGGCCGAACAGCAGGGAGTAGCCTGCCGGAGGTTCGGCTTAGCCGATCCAGATGTTGGAGCGGCTGAGTCGAACTCCTTCTGCACTTCGGGTCGGCCAAACATGCTGAGCACTGTGTTTATTATACACAGTGCTTTGGAAAACTAAAACTGGCCATAAACGGCTCAAACTTCATCTAATTTATGCTGAATCGGCTGAAATTCAGGTTGTGAGTGGTCGTGTCATCACCCCCTGGCTCAACAAACATTTAAATTGTCAAATTTTATACTCAGCTCAGTTGAAGTCATAACATAAGAAAATTAAATGAATCACCCAAATCTAAAAGCAATTCTCATTTGTCAATGTGGTCCGGTGACCGTGCTGACCAATGAGTACTCACCATTTGCGAGCATTATTCTAGATGGCTATCTATTCCAGATTCCAGGCTGCAGTGCAGTGTACAGTGGCTTGACCACTCACTGGTTGGCACGTGGTGGGGGTTGTGGGTTATGGAGGTTCAGCAAGAGGTAAGAAATGCAGGGGTGGGGAGTTGCACAGAACATTTGAGTGGGTAATTTCATTTTCTTTGTCACACCTTCTAGAATCTGTTGGGGTGTACAATTCTTGGCTGTACAGTGACTGCATCCAATCAGATTCAATCACTGTTCAGGTATTCAGACAGCTGCGGGTGCTGTGGCTTATTACCCCATTGTGTTTGTACAGGCTTTTGAAGTAACTGCTTATTACTTGGGACTGCAGGCAGATGGAATGTTGCAGTTGGGAACATTCAATTGTTAACTCTAGATAGCAGTAGGCAAGGCTCTATGGCATCCAGCAGCATTTGTGTGACTCAGTGGATCGAGCGTATATATGTATGAAAAGAAAAAGGAAATGCTGCTGTTTACAAGGCTCATTATCTCGCCACCCCGCCTACATTTCCAGAATTTGTTACATATCCGGAATCCCATTTTAAATACAAATGAGAAGTACATGAGAAGATATTGCGAGCATTGGTTTCAGCAGATAACAAACAGGAAAACATAACACGCTGCATAAAGTAATTATTTAGCGGTGGCTGGCCTAATTGGTTGGGAGTTCGCACAATCACTGCGCTGACCTATGGGATGGGCATTTCCTGCCGTTAATGACGGAGCTGCCGGCTTTTAGCACTACAAGACAATCATCAATTTCCAGGAAAGTTCTTCCCCTGTGGCCATTACTGCTTCAGAAAAAGTTCAAACACTCGCCACTAAACTTTCTTCCTTTCATTCTCAGATAAGCGGAGCACATTATCATCAAAGGCTGCACAGAAGAATCCAAACATTGATCAAGACTGCAGTGTGAGGAGAAAGCGGGGAAAGGCAGCCTGCGATGGGCAAGGGCCAACGTACGGTGAGGACTGCGGGCAAACCTACCGTGATTCACGATGAATCTCAGCTTCTGGATGGTGGAAAGGTTCCCGCTGACTCTGTATAAACCGTCCACATCTAAACCTTAAAGAAAAAAGAAAAAATACTAATTATACAACATTCTCTATGAAAACAATCCAATACTCAAACAACTGGGTGCAATGCATTCTGCATTTTCTAATGTCTAAACCAGGGGTTTGCAACCTCGGCATTCCAGCTGTGTTGAAACTACAAGTCCCATGAGATATTGCAAGGCTGACAGCCACAGGCGTGACTCCCAGAGGGATGATGGGAGTTGTGGTTTCATCTGCAGTGCTGAGGTTGTCTGCCTCTGGTCCTAGCTTTTTAAATTCCATTGAATTTTGAGCCATCAAATATTAAAATTGTGTTGGCATACCTATGAAAAATTTACATTTATCCAGTTATTTAGCCTGTCTTACTTTGCCTGAGTCTGACTCCCTAGATCACGGATGGCCAAACTCCGGCTCTCCAGCTGTGGTGAAACTACAAATCCCATTAAGCATCTCTCTCTGGGAGTCATGTCTGTGGCTGTGAGAATCTTGCAAAGCCTCATGGGATTCGTAGTTCCACCACAACTGGAGGGCCGCAGCTTGGCCATCCCTGCCCTAGATGAAAAGTCAGGGAATAAAGATTGTTATGTGCATAACAGCATCAAACAACAGAACCTCATCGTTGAGGATGGTTTTTGTCAATGCGATGAAAATTCAGAAGCAGGGAGGCTATAATATAACAGGATAACCTGATAACATACAGATCTATTGAGGGTGTGAAAATGTAAGTTGACATCAGTTCCTGCTTAGAGCTTAGTGTCCCGTGTACAATAGTGCAGTCCGATGCACACTCTCTAGTATTAATTTGAGTGAAAGTCAGTTAACCTGCCCTGGCAAAAATGGGAAGATGCTATCATCATGCAGATAGGGCCTGAAATTATTAAAGCCCCATTCCACCCCTCCCCCATTGCCCCCCCCTCCTCTCCCAACCCTACTTGGAGGTTCCTCCCGCTTTAGTCCTATTCCATACCTACTTGGAGGTTTCCCCCATCCTAGTTCTCTCCCATCCCTACTTGGAGGTTCCCCCGCTCTAGTCATTTCCCATTCCTGCTTGGAGGTTCCCCCCACTCTAGTCCTCTCCTATCCCTACTTGGAGGTTCCCCCCCACCCTAATCTTCTCCCATCCCTGCTTGGAGGTTTCCCCACACTCTAGTCCTCTCCCATCCCTACTTGGAGATTGCCCCCGCTCTAGCCCTCTCCCATTCCCACTTGGAGGTTCCCCCGCTCTAGTCCTCTCCCATCACTACTTAGATGTTCTCCCTGCTCTAGTCTTTCCACATCCCTACTTGGAGGTTCCCCCCTCCTTAGTCCTCTCCTATACCTAATTATGGTGTAGCGCCCTCTAAAATGTCGCTATTCAATTTAGAGATACCTGGACTGTAACCAGTCCAGATACTGATTATGCAGATCTCTGCATTGTATAGGTGTCCCTGAATCTGCTGGAATGATTACTCCTCCTGTTGCTGAGGAAAAGGGAGCCTTGGCATACAGTGAGGGAGGATCCATCCTCAGGTTATGACTATGCACCTGACCCTAGCCAATCCCTGAGTAGGATGACTTAGAGGCATGGTTGAGGGCAGGCAATAAAAGGTCTGGGGACACTGTGCAGAGGTCTCTTCCCCCTAGGGGCCTCGCCCTAGGAGGTCTGTGTGATGCAAGCAAATGGCCTGGGCCTCAGCACATGGCAGGTGCTGAGGGGCCTGGAAGCCTAGGATACACTGATACTTTGCTGGGCCCACACACGTGTGGGGCGCCTGGAACTAGAATACACCACTGGATATCTGGCATGCACCTCAGCAAGTGGCAGATGCTGAGGGCCCAGAGATTTCCGTTATGGCTGCAAGGAGACCTGATGGAAACTGGGCTGGAGGTGGCGTCGTCTTATCGAGGAGTGTCGCAGAGGAGCTGGTGAGAGCTACCGTCTGGACCCTGTAAGAGACCCCTCACCCTATTCCCAAGTGATCGCTATAGAAGAAGCCAGTTGTTGCTACCTGAATCCAGAGATAGTCCCTTCCTCTCAAAGTCCTGGGCTATCCTGGCTATACGCTGTACTGTTGCTAAGGGAGAAAGCTGTCCTCAGAAGAATCCACCAGGGCATCCTACAGACCCTAAACCCTCTCTCTCCTGTTGAATCCGCAAATAAATACTCTAAAAGTCCCTAAGACTTGAGCCTGTTTGTGTATTGTTAGTGTCGGTGTGCTGGATCTAAGCAGGCGGGCCGGTGGCTGGCAAACAGGTAGGAGAACCCTATTTCATACTCAGTGGCTCCTTCAGGGGTGAGCTCTACAATAGGTTCCCCCCAGCCCTAGTCTTCTCCCATCTGTACTTGGAGGTTCCCCTCCACTCTAGTCTTCTCCCATTCCTACTTGGTGGCCCCCCTTTCTCTAGTCCTCACCTATCCCTACTTGGAGGTTACCCCCTCCCTAGTCTTCTCCCATCCCTGCTTGGAGGTCCTCCCACTCTAGTCTTTTCCCATCCCTAATTGGAGGTTCCTGACACTCTAGTCTTCCCCATCCCTACTTGGAGTTTCACCCCTCTCTAGTCCTCTCATATACCTAATTAGACCAACGGGAAATTGATTAAATAATGAACGTCTATTATTTTTGTTCCCTTTGGCCTGATGAATATGTCATTGAAAGTGTTTTTATTATGCATGTTAGATAGGTGTGAAAAAATGCCTGTTGAATATGTCAGAAATCCATAGCTATCCTCAGTCCAGTGCTCACATCCTGTGTTATCTCGGAGAGTAAATAATCCTCCTAGTTCTTATCTTAGGGGCTACAGAATGATTATCCTTCATGTGATAGAGATGTGGAGTAGTTTGACAATACTGGGCAGGGCTGACATCACTCAGTCCAGAAACATGCTGTGTGTCCTGTTAACGCACAACGGAACTTGACGGCACAGGAGCTGAGTGCATTTCTGGCAGATCAACAGGTATGTATCTCTACTTGCAGGGTTATGTGCATGCATTGCATAGATGTACAGCATATTTGTTTATTATTTTTCCCTAGACATACATTTTAAATAAAGGTTTAAAGTGCTCCCGATGGGAATTGACACAAGAGTCTAGTGCTGTAGGGTAATTGCGCTACCACAAATCCACCAAGTTCCCATCAGTTTGACTTAGGGAGGAGTGGCAGCTGATAGAAAATCATGTGACCAATTGTACTCCAATCATGTTTGCATATGCCAGCTGCCACAGAACAGCAGTTAATAGTGGAATTACACATGCTGTCAGAAGACAGTAGCCTAACTATTATAGAGTTTGTTGAGTTTGGTGAGACACATAAATATAGGGTGATAGGAACAATGATAGTAAAATATTAGAGACAGGGAGACAGAGAGACATGTTTAAAGCTCTTGATTTCTCAAATAAATAAAAAATCAGATTGCTGATTGTGAAACAATGAAAGAGAAAGTGTAATGTTACGACTTAAACATAAGAATTCACACAATAATATTTCTGATAAGTGGAAGAGAAGTACTTTAAATCCCTTTACAATTATCAGTTTCAGCTAGATAGAGAAAACAAACACCCAGAAGTATTACACAAGCTCCCTGTGAAAATGAACCTTTCTGGAATGGAGCATGGCAATGTGTTATGTATCTGTTTAAATATTACCTGCTTTAGCAGTGACAGAAGCTCTAACCTCACATTTTTAATTACCCTTTGTATGTGTTTAATGGAAATATAAAGGATGCAAGTATAAACATTGCCTTGCTGTGGAACTATAGCTTTGTCCTACAAGCTGGCTGGCACAACATATCAGTATGCAAAGTTCCATTGTTCTTTTTCTCCTACTTCAATCCTTGTGTGTCCTTTAGTGGTTCTGTACACATGGGCCATCTCAAGCTAACAGTAAGGCAGTTGACTCGGGCCATATAGTCAAAAGTGTCTCAAAACAAAGTGGTTTTAGTGGTAATATCTCAGTAGCTAAAATTAATATTTAAAGTGAACCTGTACTAGTCAGCGAAAATCACGGCTGTAACTACAGATCGCAGGGAGAGATAGCAAAAATGTAATGGGGCCCCCCTGATGACCTCTCTCTGAGCTGTGTGTAATGATGACACGATCTCAAAGACTCTTCTTGTGCATCTGAAGTTGTTGAAGGGGATTAGAGTCAACTGCAACCACTACAACCCTTAATAATACAGTACTGTACTAGCTCTTGAGCTCTTGATATTTCCTCCCGCCCGTGCACCTTCCCCTAACATTTCCCTTGAGATTGATAACACAACCATCCATCCCTACCCTCATGCCAAGGTGCTAGGTGTCATCCTTGACTCGGACCTCACCTTTCTTCCCCACATCCAATCACATCTCCAAAATACGGCCCTTCCTCACCAAAGAAACCGCAAAATTACTCATCCACTCCCTTGTTATCTGCCATCTTGACTATTGCAACTCCCTCCTCATTGGCCTTCCACTACAAAGGCTATCCCCTCTTCAATATATCATAAATGCTGCTGCCAGACTCATCCACCTAACCAACCGCTCAGTGTCTGCAACTTGAACTTTGCAGGAGGGAAGTGCCTAAACCTATGGAAAACCCCACCCATTAAAAATTGCCATTTGCTTAGTGATCCAGTGCCACTCTACAGGCGAAGAGGCAACACAGTAAAGGAGATTTGTGGTACCATATGGCGTCTTTGCTTCAACACTACCTTTATTTTGGATGAGAGCCAAGCCAAATCATTGTTATATGAGGGAGAACTCAGTGTGCCTATGCTTATGCTGACTTTTTTTAAACTTCAAGATCAATATGGTTATTATGCATGGGGTAGAACTTGTGGAAATTCAATATAGAAATACATATGCATTTGTACTTTTTGACCATAGATACCTTTCCCTCAACCCACCTGCATGTTGTTTGGACTAAGATACAAAGATTTTAAATGTCTTGTATTTGCTGATGTCCAACATGATGAACGTTTTTTTTTTGCAGGAAAACTATAAAGTTGGCGGTGTTGCTGTCTTTCTCACATTGCAGGCTGATTAGCATCTCACAA